AAGGGATTGTCTCTTGTTTTCTGCACCCTCCAAAACAGCGCTTGCGCATTCCGCGGTTACCACGTCCAGCAGACTTTTCCTATATCCGGACGCGTGCAAAGATTTTGCATTTGCCACCTCCGCAGAGGATGCTTCGCTCGATGACTGTGTGCGGCACCATTTTTGCCAACGCGCTTTTCTTCGCCACCACCATGCCTTAAAAGAATTCATTTTTTTTACATTTGTTGATTTTTTTTCAATAAGTTTTACAAGTCGTTTTTCCGCATCTACTGCCTGCAAAGAGGTAGGAGAATTATACGCATCCATCATTATTGATTTGAATTCCTTTTTACTTTTTTGGTCGCCAAAATAAACGGAATTACGGTTGATGTCTTGTTTGAAATGGAAAAAGTCTGAAATGGTCTTGTTTTTTACGTCTTCCCCCTTTACCAAGCAGAGACCACGCCACAGAGCACCACCTTCATCACCGACGTATGATTTTGGATCTAATCCCCGTCCTAAGACGTCTTCATTATCTACATTATATTGGCCAGCCACTTTTGGGAGAACATTGTTAACGGCCGCATCAAAAGACTGCACCATTTTTTTTACGTTATCTGAATTTTCACCTGGTTTGGCTGCAAACATACTGACTAATTTGACATTGCGTCTCAAGATGGGGTCGTAAGTGGTCATCTCAATTTCTGTGTAGTGTTGCGCGCGGCTTTCACAGCCATCGAGGCTTACTGGTTCGTCAACAATGCCAAGAGTAATGAGTGCACCTAATCGCACCTTATGCTCAGACGAAAGAATGACATAATCGTCGCCAACACACATAATTAAGTTTTCATCTAATTTCCTGGCAAGAAAATCGTCCTTAAGCAATTGAACAGCTTCTATCTCCGATCCTCCAGGTCTCTTTTTCTTGTTAATGGTACTCTGTATATACTGAAGATGTTTTTTGTTGCTGTATGTTAAAGCTATCTCGTTCACCTCATCTACTTCTTTACCACTAAGTAAGGCCTCGCGTACAACGTCCAACTGTAGTTGACCTGCTGATTTAGTAGGTTTTATACGGAGAATGTTTTCTACTTCCTCTTTAGACGGCTTATCTTCTTCTTGCTTTGGAGAGCAATCGTGTTCCTGTAAGTAGATTACTGTCATTTTTTTGTGGCACCGGTCGTTTTCAACATATTTTCTTGCTGAACAATGCTTTTTAATGGCTTCACTGTGACAGTGAACGCAACGTTTTGATCGATTAAAATCGACTTTGTTTGGAGACTTATGAATTTTTAAATATGCGCACTTCTTGTTTGCGCATTCTAGCGAACCGAGACACAATTGAAGCGTCCTTCTACCACCCTTGCAAAATCCCGCTCTTTTGCATGGTTGTGCTCTACCCCACTTCCAGTTGTCTACAACCACTGACAAAGGGTCCGCATCATTGTATTGCACTTCATACTTTACAGGACCTTGAGGAGCCAGAGGAACCTTCTTCACCTGAACTGGCTTGAGTTTGTCAATTTCGTCTTGATTGGCATACAGTCTACGTCCCTTTCTTAAAACGCTGATGTCCCCATTGCTGTCGCTATCTCTACCAATAAATGCAAAAGGTCGTTAACGCTTCAGGAAGAAAACTGCTTAAGAAGCATAGACTTTTGATAAAACACCACGGCTATTTTCATATCGTATCATAATAACCCCCACTAACACATCTGCATGCCGCCATCTAGTCTACCCCTCCCAAACAACAAAAGAGACGTTTATTTTCATGTGCACTTGTAATGATCTCGAGGGAATTTCCCTGTTTTTACTCCCTTGACGTTTATAACTAATTAGTTTTTTGTATTCCATTCTGTGCACATTTTTATCAAAACAGAAAACCATTCACCTAAACCCAACACTCTATTACATCAATAAAAGAATGATTACGTACTCTTCATCAAATAGCTTCTGCTTTGCGGGTGACCTCTGGGCGTCCTCTTTGGGTCTTTTAACTGCTGGTAGACGTGGCTTTTGAGGCGTGTTGTCATTGGAACTTAGTCCACTTACACTGGCGATTAATTCTTCGATGCTGTCATCCTGTTATATTAAAAAAAAACTAAGGTCGATTTCTGCCGCTCTCTCCAACAGCGGCTGGTAATCGAGCCTAAAAGAACCTACAACAATGACTTTTTACAAATGATATCTACACAACATTCTTTGGTTCAGATATATTTTTGTGTGTCTAAAAATTCTGCAATCTTAGCGGACAAATATACGCATTGACGTTGATTTCTAAATTTCCTTTCCATGCACGGCTTCAAGCTACTAATAAAAGCAGAGCTACTTATTTCAATAATTAACCATAACGGGAAAAGAGGATTTTTTTTCTTGGATAAGAAACTCAAAAAACTATCAATTGTGATCATTACGTGATACTGGTCAGCTATCAATTAATTGTAACATGGATGTCCACAGAGGTGCCTACAGTAATGGTGCTTGCTACTCTATTATTTTTGAAGGTATGGGGATGGCCGCACGGACCAACAGACGGACGTAGGAACAGTCACGTGACAACCAAATTTTTCAGATCGATGGGTTGCCTAATTTTCTTAAACATTGACCAGTGTTCTTCGGCGCCCAGGATTGTGCAAATAGGTTCTGGGTAAGAGGGTGCAACGTAAATTAGTGATCACCTAGGCGATGTAGGAATCAAGGAGGAAGAATATTGGGACAGTCGTTTTGTTCTGTGTTCAGTTTCGTCAGTCAGTATACAATCACTTACTGATGAAATACGCTGTCTTTTCCGGGTGGGTTGTTTAAGGGGCGAATCGACCTCCATGCCATCGTCGGAGCTTATTTCAACCACACTCTGATCACTAATATCTGCAACCGTCGTCTTAATTTCCTGCTTGCTCTTCTAAATTAAAAAAATGCAAGGCCTGTATAGGTAAAGTGTTGAAGTTCTGTATCTTCTAGTTAAAAACGCGAATAAATTCCTCCTACATACCTTTAATGACTTGTCTTTTGGAGTTTCCTTTTCTTCAATTATTTCAAGATCCGATCCATAAGAGGATGTGTCATCGGATATTTTTCGTCCTCTCCATAAACTCGTCCCGGGGTTGTATTCTTCTGTGGATTCCCACCATTCCATCTCTTGATTTTTTCGTCCTTTGGGTGTCTGAAATTAGACACAACAGAATGAGTTTCTTAGTGTATCTACCGCTAATGACGTTTATTTTATCTCCGCCTCGCCTCTTCCCACTTCCACCAAAAAAAAAGGCAGAACCAAAACGATTACGTGGTTAGAACTAGATGAGTCACCCCGTTAAAATTGTACCTTTGTTGTCGTTGTCCTTTTAGCTTTGAAAGTTTTACCGGAGGATGTTTTAATTTCTTGAGCACTTTGTTCCTCTTTGATTTTAGGGGAAAAACTACGAGTACGTGGCTCAGAATTTCCCTTGGAAGATCTCGCCGCCGTTGCATAGCTTGATGCCTGAAACAAATGTGAGAAGGTTGAGTAAGTCAGCAATACTGTGACGTCCTGAATATAACCCAGGGACCAAAAAACTGTATGAAATTTAAACAGATCTTAGCGAGTTAGTTGCAATGTTAGCCTGACTGATTGATTATTTGTTTGTCAGAAATTGCGTATCACAGGTCAAATATGAACATGTGCCCAAGTTGTGAAACGAACCCAGGCACATCTGTTTACATTATGTATAGCACATGGAAGTAACCAATCCCACCCTTTGCTTGAGCTTCAATGGGACGTAGTGATTACCACTGTGTCCGAAGTAAAGAGTGCCAACTGAGGGACCCAACTGAGGCTCCACAACTTTAACGAAATTGTCATCCTGTAAAATAAAATGTAAAGAAAACAATTTATTACTCCTTAGTTAAAAACTTAATTTAGTTTTCTGAAAGCAATGGAAACAAACGTGAAACATTGGATGACAACAATTATTTACCCCATGCACTGTAATAATCATGATCTTGTAGTGCATCACATTTGCAAAGGCGCTAATCACTAAAGAATTAGCATAATTCTTTTCCAGGATCTTCAACGCTTCTGACCACACAGCAGGCACCTTTTCACCACCCATATCGACGTCACACAAGAAAGCCAAGCGGTCATTTCCCTGGTCCTATTATGAAAAAAAAAAAAAAAAAAAAAAAGAGACTGTCACAAAACCTCGTACAAGAGACGGCTTTTCAGGTGGTTTCAAAACTTTAAACTATTCATTTTTCCTAAAAAAAAATGTCTGCCCAATAGTCTTTCAGTGTGCACAGTGAGAAAAGTGTGATGCCCAAAACGTTGCTTTTCAGATGATGATTACGAACATTGTGACAAATATACATGCAGCTCGTTTAAAGTGAACCTCTGAACTGGGAGGCAAGGAAAATTAGGCTTAAAAATAAATACACGTTAAGGAAAAATAATGAGCCCTAGTGTACAATGAAAAAAAAAAAGACTTGGATTAGGGCTCAATTAAGGAAAATGATGTAAAAACTAAGTACAAGAAAAATATTTCATTTCATTCCGTTTGTTTTTAATACTCTTATTAACCGGGCGTCGCTTATGTCATCATCTGTTGTCGGTCACGCAGTCACTTATACTACGGTTAAATAACTTACATCAAACTGATGGTTTCCCAGATAATTAAAAATGAGGTTGTGCAAGATCTCCGACTTAAGTCCCAGTTGAAACGCTGCAGCCCGATAGAAACAGCTTCCATCACCGGGAGGATTAAAAGCAATTTCAAATCCTTCTTCTTCTATCCTCTGCCGAAGTTCCATTTCAATTTCCATTTTCTAACAAACCCGAAAAAGTAAAATTTACTGTTGACAAAAAAATACTTTTACATTTCGCAATGTTAACCTCGTCTGAGGCTGTGCTGAAAATGTTCAAGAAATGGAACTAATACATTAAAAATACATATATCCGAATCTCACTTACCTCACTTGAATGATTTCAGAAGTAAACGCCAAAAAAAAGTACTTTCTACCTCTCCTGATAATTTGTTCCGACTGGAAGGAAAAAAACCCACTGCACCTCTGGTAACGTGCCAAGGAAGAACGCGGTAAAGGAATGGGCTCTAATATATACTTCTGTCCGAGAGAAACTGGGTTTGAAAACAATCAAAAATGGCGCATGGACTCATGAGTAAGTAGTATTGTACGATATATTTTACATACATGTTAATTTTTTATTTGATATATTTTTATTTTTCATTTTTCATGGCTCGCACCCTGGCTCGCATGACTCGCATGGCTCGCAACCTGGCTCGCATGACTCGCATGGCTCGCACAGTGACTCGCATGACTCGCTGGCTCGCACATTAGGCAGACCCTAGAGTTTCTGTGTTTTGTGTGTTGGAATGATGCGGTTTGGTTTCTGTATCTAGTCTTGGAGTCGTTTTTTGTAAGTTTGATGTATGTCTCAGTGGTTCTGTTGTTCTTACATGTGACAGTGGCCTGATAGATTTGTGATGATTGGAGGCAGTTTCCGTTTAGTGGGCATGTGTTCTTCTGACATTGCATAATTTGGCAATCAAGATGGCGGCATGTTCAGCATCTCCCACTAAAAGTCGAAAATTGCAGTCTTTTATAGTCTTAGTACTCCTAAATATCCTGTTCTATTTGTATATAGGGACATCTGGAAAATGTCTGAGCAACTTTGGTGAAGCTGAGTCTCGGAAAGCTGATACATTGACAGGTATTCATTACGACACGGTCGGTCGTTGGCGCCATTTCAGACCGGTTTTCATGTGCAAGCACCCTAAAAGGAAGGTTTACTTAGCATCGAGGTTGAACTATCATCCCAATTCTAATGCAAGCTTCAATTTAACTAGACTGGCGCTTTGTGGAGACTGTGAAAACAGGGTTTTGCCTTCACAAATGAACGGACGGACGGGGACAACTCTTAAAAACTCTTCTGGGTAAAGGCTTTCCTTGGGGGCACTCGCTGGCTGCGGGAAGGTAACCGGAATCTATTACGGTTGCTGACTATCCTTGAGAGAATGACTAACGACAACAGGGTTGGCTCCAACGTAGATTTATTCTTCAAGCTCTACTACAATTTTGACCAGAACGGACCAGGCCAGGGCTGGTTCGACCCTGCTCTTCTCTCTCTTAACTTTCTCCTCTCTTCTCTCACCCAACTCCTAAGCTTTACAGAACAGTCCTATTTAAGCCTAACGTACATGGATAACGTAATGCCATGAATAATCTAAAGGATCATGTAATCTACTACACTATTGGCTAAGTAGGAATTTCGCCTTTTACAACATTAATTACTTTTAAAGAGTTCCGGTGGATAACAGTTACACAAAAAGACATGACAGGTGGCTGTTACAGTTTAACACTAATAACAACTGTTTACAGGTGACTGAAGGAGAACTGGTGGCGTTTATGCTTTGCTGAACTAAGCTTTCTACGTGGAATATTGTATTTTGAAGCGTAAGCATGAAAGAACTCGATAACTAAAAATCCTATCGTTACAAGACAAAAATCCCAACCCAGGACCGGACACAAGCGTAACGTTGAAGTCGAAATGTAAACATGTGAGCGAACTATAGCCCGAAATCACCGAACCGTACGATGTCAAGAATGTCAACTTCCTTACCATCTCAAATGTTCTGGACTGAACATGAAGAACTATCGACAAACGCAGTCAAATATGGGCTATTCGTGGATCTGTGACTTGTGTCTGCTTGCTACTCTTCCTGCTGATTTAAGTTTCAGCTCGGATTTTTCTGAAAGCGTTGTAGAAAATCGACGTAATGATGAGATATTATGCAAATCAGTACCAGAGGTTGTGCAACAGAGAAAGAAAGACTCTAGAGAAATTCTGGTGATGCACTTAAATGTAAACAGCCTTCAAAATAAGATCGAGGAGGTCAGGATGCTGGTTGAGCAATTCGAGGCCCACGTGGTTTTCTTAGGGGAGACAAAGATAGATGGAACGTATCCGAATAGTCAGTTTGCTATTAAAAACTATTATTTATATAGAAATGACCGTGTCAAGGGTGGGGGAGGTCTGATGGCATATTTTTCATCTGTACTTCCATCGAAGCGTTTAAAGCAACCAAAGGTGTTTAAAACAATTGAGGTTCTACCAATCCAATCTAAATTCGGACCATCATATGGACTATGCATCGCTGAAGGAGAGAGCAGTGCAACACAAGACCAGAATTCTGAAGGTACGGAGCTATAAGAACTTTAATGAGGAGAAGTTCAAAGAAGATCTGAAAATGGCCCCCTGTCATGTGGGTGAGAGTTTCGAATCTGTTGATGAACATTACGAGTATTGGGAGGCACTGCTAAATAAGATTGTGGATGATCATCTACTTACCAGGGACATAAAAGTAGGGGCACATAATGTACCCTACATGACGAGAGAGTGGAAAAATGCTATCAAAGCTAAAAGACGCTTCTCAAAGAAATTCAGTAAAAACCCCACACAAGACAATTTTGAATTGAAGAGGAAGTGGCACAATGAAGCCACCAAAGAAAGAAGAAAAGCAATTAGGCAGTATTGGAAAAAAGTATCAGATAATGTCAAGTCTGATCCAAGAAAGTTCTACAGAACGTTTAGACCATTCACTGACTTCAAGAACAAACAGGGAAACAGCGGTGATATATGGTTGAAAGTTAAGGATGTGTTGGAGGGGGATCAAACCAAAGAAGCTAACCACTTTGCTAATTTTTTTCTCCACTATGGCTGATGGAATTGGAGGGGACCACGTAAATGTCTGTGTAGAGAGTGATTTCATGAATCACAACTCTCTTCTTAATATTTCGACTTATCTTATCAAGAGAGATTTACATGAAAACCACTTTGAATTTAACGAAATTACATTGCGAAAAGTCATGAGCGACCTAAACCCCAATAAGTCAAGGGGATATGACAGGATCGACCCTAAGATCCTTAATGTAGGCGCCACTGAGTTAGCTTCGTCTCTTGCTGTGATTTTTAACCAAGCAATTAGAAATGGAGAATGGATAGCAAAGCTCAAGCGTGGAGAATGGATACCGGTACATAAGAAGGATGATAAACAAAGGGATGCAAACTATAGACCTATCACTGTGCTGTCATGCGTAAATAAAGTCTATGAAATATTGCTGGGTCAACAAGTCAGTAAGTTTATGAATGACAGACTCAGTGATGCTATCACTGCCTATCGTACAAAGAATAGCTGTGAGACCACGCTGATAAGGCTGACCGAAACATGGAGAGCGGAACTAGACAGCAAGAGAATTGACGGTATATTGTCATCGGATATGAGCAAGGTTTTTGACTCTCTTAGCCCTCAGTTACTCTTAAATAAACTGCAAGCCTACAATTTCTCTGACAAAGTCATACAGCTCTTACGATCTTATTTTCAGAGAAGAGAGAATAGAGTAAGGATAGGTTCTGTAATAAGCGACTGGGTTGTGATGAAGAGAGGATGTCCACAGGGAAGCACATTTGGACCACTTATGTGGAATATTTTCTAGAACGATTTGCCTAACATAATATCAGATGCCAATGTCTCGATGTATGCAGATGACCATCAGATCTTTGTAGCACATGAAACAATGAAAAGAGTGGAGAAGATACTGGTGGACAATGGAGAGAAGATGACTAAATGGTATCAAGATAATCTTTTTAAGGTCAATTGCGATAAATACCAAGCTATCGTTTTGGGAAATCCAAAAGGTGAAAGGAACACTGATCTGGATATAAGTGGCGAAAAAGTTGAACAGTCACAATCCATCAAGATCCTAGGTGTAACCCTAGACGAAAACCTAAACTTTAAAGATCATCTACGTAGTGTGAGTAAGAAAGTTGCCGGTATGATCGGAGTTTTAAGAAGGCTTAAAAATCTTATCCCAGTAAATGCTAAGTTACTTTTGTACAAATCAGCTATCATGCCACACCTTACTTATTGCCACCTAGTGTGACATTTTTGCACGGCATCTGATAATCGTAGATTGGAGCGTCTACAAGAAAGAGCCTTAAGATTAGTGTATAATACTATTGCCGAAAGTTATGACGCCTTACTAAAAAGAGCTAAATTAACTACTTTGCAAAATAGAAGGTTGCAGGATATACTAATTTTGATGTTTAAAGTTAAAAACAAATTAACAACGAACGAAATTGCGAACATTTTTAATATCAACGATGAGAATACTAATAATAAGGGATACAACCTAAAAATGCAGATTTTGTCTTACCTCGGTTTAAAAGTGTTACTTATGGAAGACATTCTCTTAGATTTCTTGGACCACAATTGTGGTCAGGAAGAGAGAAATATTGGAACTTTGGCAACTTTTAGGACAACTATACGTAAGAAGGATGTAACATCATTTCTCGAAGGATGTGAGAGTGAATGTTGCTTATGCTTAGGTTAACTTGACGTACGCATATTTATACATATTCATTTTTAGTGTCCGAGCTCATATATTACATTGTGAATTCAGCACCCTGCTACAAAGTGTTATAGAGTAAAATTGTAACTTAGTTTTAAAGTGTAGAAGAGTACTTAGTCTGAATAATGTTATTTTCCTGCTTTTAAGATTCATAGTTTTTAATTAGATTTTTTAGTCTTAAAGGTGTCCCCAATTAGTTCCAATAGGCACTAGAACGATTAGACACTTAAATAAAGGTCATGTATATATGTATGTATGTAGGTATGACAGCGGCTGCAAGTTTTGGTTTCTTTTGTGTTGGTGTTATCTGTGGTGTTGTCGATGTGTTTGGATGAATTTAAAATGTGTTTGTTGTGGTTGTCTATGATTTGTTTAGTGTTATTTATGCTACTGTAACTGATTTTTTATCGTCTTATGATTGAAGATTCTTCTAAGTTTGTGGTCTTTCGGGAAGTGCTTGTCTACTATGGCAAGGAATCTGTGTCCGATATTGGTTCTGATGTCTTTGCTGACATGGGGGTTGTATCAGAGTATGTTGTTTTGTAGTCTGTTTTTTCGTCTGTTGATTGTGGGTGGTTTGTAGTGTCGAGTGTACTGGTATCTGCATTCTTCGAGTGCTTTTTTATATAGAACATTCGTCGAGTGCCTTGTGATATGAAGGGGTGGCTCCATATCAAAAAGCACTCAACAAATGCGGATACCAATACACTCTACATTACAAACCACCCACAACTAACAAATGAAAAGAAAGACAACAGAACAACATACTCTGGTACAACCCCCTATTCAGCAAAATGTCAGCACCAATATTGGACACAGATTCCTTGCCCTAGTAGTCAAGCACTTCCCAAAAGACTGCAAACTTAGAAAAATTATTAATTATTGTAACACAATCAAAATCAGTTACAGCTGCATGAAAAGTACTAAACAGATCATCGACAACCACAACAAACACATTTGTAATTCGTCCAAACACGTCGATGACACCACAGATAACACCAACACAAAAGACACCAAAATGCGAAGCTGCCGACAGAGGAACACATGCCCACTTAATGGAAACTGCCTCCAATCATCAATCTACCAAGCCATTGTCACATGTAAGAACAACAGCATCACTGAGACATAAATCAGACTTACAGAAAACGACTTCAATACTAGATACAAAACCACACCACATTATTCCAACACGCAAAACACAGAAACTCTACCGAACTCAGGAAACATATCTGGACCCTTAAAGAAAATAACATTGACTACGTTATTTCATGGCACATCCTTTCATCAAGATCCCCGTACAACAGCAGAAGCAAAAGATGCAACCTCTGCCTCAAAGAAAAATTACTTATAATCCGCCAACCTGAATTATCAACACTTAATAAAAGAAATGAACTTGTGTCTTCATGCCACCACAGGAACAAAGCATTACTGCGTAACAATTGAACAAAGCATCGAAATTTACCGGCACACCTTTATGCAAGTTTGTAAAATATATCATCATCATCATCATCATATTTTTATTTCCCTTATTTACACAATACAATGAAATTTATTTACAGCGGTTATAGCTAGAAGGCGAGGAGACCCAGGAAGCCACCGGGCTTATGGGAGAGCCACCTCACTTACATTAATAAATAAAGTAAAGAAAAAGTGCTGCGAATGTGCGGCTAGGCCAATTCAAGGATTATTTAAGTAAAAACTCTTGCATTTTCGTCTTAAAACTATGAAGGTTTGACGAACAAGTGACTGAAACATGAAGAGAGTTCCAAATTTTAGGACCTTGGTAAAGAATTGTATATTGCTTGAGATTTGTACGGCACAAATGCGTTCGATAATAACTGGCTGTTCTGGTACCATAGTTATGAATTTGGCTATTCGTTACAAAAAGATTGAGAAGCAATGGAGGCAATAAGTTGTTTCTATAATAGAACATGAATTTGGCGATTTCAAACGTATTGACTTGGAAAATATCTAAAATTCCTCGTTTGGAGAATAAAGGAGCAGAATGGGCTCGATAGTCTGAGTTGGTGATAGCCCGCACAGCTCGCTTTTGCAAGTAATAAATTCTATTTAAGTTAGATACGTATGTGGACGACCACAGTTACAATAGACGATATAAGGATAAATTAACGTGTAGTACAAAGTGAGCTTTGTTGTAGAGGATAGGAAAAAGCGAGACCTGAATATAATACCTATTGATTTAGCTATTTGTTTACATACATAGCTGATACGGTGTTTCCAAGTGAGATGATCATCAATATAGACCCCAAGGAATTTAGTTATGTTAGGTTGTTGTAGGGGTTTACCTCCAAAGGAGAGAGAAATGCTGGAGTTAAATTTCTTCTGTCTGGGTTTAAAAATTACGTGGTTAGTTTTCCTTATTTCGACTGAGAGCTTATTGTATTTTAGCCAGACATCAATATTTTGGAGTTCATCATTAAGTACGGATTCTAAGCAATTTGGGTTTGAGTGAGAATAAAAGATACTGGTGTCATCAGCAAAAAGCAGAGGGTCTGTTAATTCAGAGGCATTAGGGAGGTCATTTATGTATAGAATGAACAATAGAGGGCCTAAAATCGAACCTTGAGGGACACCATACTTGATGGTGACTTAACAACGATTATGAACATTAACAATAAAATCCTCTGATGAGTGAGTATCACGAAACAGGCTTGTAGGGATGAAAGTATAGTCTCTGTTTTCTCCCCTATCTCTATACATAGTGCGCTCTACTTCTACGCATCAAGCAGTGTGCAACAGAAAAATCAAACCATAGACTTCCTATATATATATATATATGTGTGTGTGTATATATATATATATATATATATATATACACACACATACATGTATCATCTTACATGAGGCACATGTATCGATAGAGAGCTCATGAGATAGATTTCTAGGAAGCTACAATCAACCTGACAACTGACTTGCCAAGACTTTTCTCTTGTGGTAGCAATTATCCTATGAGATGACCAGTAAAAAGTCCCAAACCATAATAGAAGGAAAAAAGGCAAACTAGAGAAACATCCCCTATGAGTAAAGTTTTTGATGCAGACTCCTTAATTAGTAAAATGCCTTCGACATTCCACTCCACCAAGAAGGAATTGTTAGTGGTCTCTGAGGAAAATCTTGACTCCTATGGAAATTTCCCTTTTTCAGTCACTGCTCCCTCATTCTGGAACAATTTACCACACTAAATAAGAACTGTAGCATGTCTAAGTTCCCTTAAGAGTAAAGTTAGGACCTTTTCATTTAGTCATTCCTTATAGCTTTTGAACACCTCAGATTTGGTTCTAAATTAACAAATATTAAACTTATGATATAATTTACATTGTATTAGAAACTTTGAGAAATGCTTTTGGTCAATTAGTACAAATAACAGTTATCATTATTATCACTATTACAGTAACTATGATTATGCAATCTCTATTATTTAACATGTGGTCAACTTAAATTGTTCTGAATGGTTCTCTGAAAAACGTTTCAACTTAGTTGTACAGTTTCTGTTTGACTGTGTGTATAAGACAGTAAGTACATAGTTGTTGGTTTATTGTTTAGCAATGTTTGCTCTACTCCAAGTTACTTTAGTAATTCAAACATTTATTTTTTGCTTTCTGCTTGTTCAGTATATTTAATGCGCAGTGATTTTCTTGAGGCAAGTGTTTTTCACATGAAAAAACCAGTTGAAGGGCGTGGCCACCTCAGACAAACAAATTGTGACACGATCTTAGTTCCCCTACATAGTATAACCACATCAATGCAATAACCCAATACACAGCTGCAAATATAAAAAATCATGATGCATAGTACACAGCGCTATCCCAGCAACACAAAGATGCTTTGACAGCACAGAAAGATGCCCTAGTTGCTTTTGTAGCACAAAGAAGGCATAGGTTGAGGATGAAACCTCATTTGGAACTCTTTATGATAGTGTAATGAATATAAGGAGGTATAATAAATATAAGGAGGTATAATGAAGCATTATACATTGTGTCATCATCTTTTCTTCTATCTGCCTTATTTTCAAAGTACAAAATTTTATTTCCAGCATTAATAGTTAGAAGGAGAGGAGACCTAGCAACCCATCAGGCCTCTAGGAGAGCCACCTCACTTACAATAACAAATCAAGTAAAGGGAAAGTGCTTCAAATGTGCAGCTAGGCCAACTCAGTGAATATTTAGGTAAAAACTCTTGCATTTCTGTCTTAAAGCTAAGAAGGTTTGACGAATGAGTGACTGAAACAAGAAGAAAGTTCCAAATTTAGGACCTTGGTAGAGAATTGTAAATTGCTTGAGATTTGTACAGCACAAATGCGTTCGATAATTAGTGGCTATTCTGGTAACATAGTTGTGAATGTGGCTATTCGTTACATAAAGATTGAGAAGCAAGGGGGGCAGTTATTTTTATGATGAAACATGAATTTAGTGATTTCAAAAATATTGACTTGGAAAATGCCTAAAATTCCTAGTTTGGAGAATAAAAGAGCTGAATGGGCTAATTACTCTGAGTTAGTGATAGCCCACACAGCTGGCTTTTGCAAATAATCAGTTCTATTTAAGTTAGATACATATGTGGATGACACCATATACTGATGTAAAATGATTTTATTGTATAAGGATTTTATATGTTTCAGTATACCTCTCTTATCCATGTGTGTACTGAAAATTATACTTTCATAGCACAAAGTGTAAGGTCAATTGTACAAGTGATTTAACATACTTAAAAAGAAGCTCAGAACTGAACATATTTGCTCTGATATAATATTTTATACCCAAAAAAGTTACTTATGAGAATGTATTTGGCAAATTGCATTGTATGACATGTCAAATATGTGGTATAATGAGGCAGTATAGACTAAGTATATGGAACAATATCCTAATGTATAACACTTTAGATGGTTAAGGATATACTTTTCCTTATCCTTGTGTGTAATGAAAATTATACTTGACCATACACAACCTGAAAGGTTTGTTGAACAAGTAATTTCACAAATTTAGAAAGAAGCTCTCATATATATTTTGCATGACATAAGATCTTAAAACCCATGGGCATTACTTACATTAGTAGCATTCTTATCAACCTTCAACAAAATCTCCCCTAAAAGAAGCTTGGAAAATTTGACTTCAGACGGTTTGAGGTCATTTAAGCAATGCTTCTATGCATCATGACTGCCTAACTGCTGGAAAAATTGCCACCTCCCATGAGGGGTATATTCAGTGCCTAAGAACTTATAATTTTATAGAATTTTGGACTAAAGACTGTAATT